TACCACATCGACGTAGGCCTGTGGTGAAGAAAAAAGCACACACTTCCACCAATTGTAGGCTTACACGCAATCACCTCCATTGAATAGGTTGGAACTTAATAAGCACTTCGGTTAACTAATAACTCCAATTGCTGGACTACTGTGTTCCAATTCCACCTCATCGCCTCCCAAAAGCGGTGGTACAATCCATGTTCCAGTTGCACGTCCATGGTATTGCTGCCAAGAGTCAGTACACATGTGGATCAACCCGATCCAACCCAGTCCAGGCTTCGGCAATCAGGCGAGCAAGCAAGTGGTATCGCTTGCACAACAGCGTGGTGTGATGGAAAGAGTTTCTGGACAACAGAGTCATCAAATCCAAAACTACAGATATTCACTAGCATCCGGTGATGCGACGCTCAGCCGCTCAGAAGCAAGACATTTGGTTGGTGTTTACGTTTCAAGGACGACCATATGCCCCGCCGTCAGCAAAGTGGTGGTCACATTCCCACCGTGAAAACATGGCAAGGGACACCTGATTCAAGGCAATCGGCATATTATCCTTGGTTAAAAGTGCACTGCAGAAGAATTCTTCCACAAAAACAGACAATACATTTATTCACGGAAAGTTGTGATTTCTTCACCCATGCTTAATTGAGACCCATGGAGAGATCTACATCGCACGTAAACAGTGCCATGAAATAAACAATGAAGCATAATGAAAACTACACAAACATTTTGTTTATCCAACAAAATATGGAGACAATTCGAAAACGCCTTCCCTTCAAAGGCTAAAGCGGTAGTCAAGGGACTACCTCCAAAACTCGAGCACTAAGCCACCCATAAACAAAGCTGCCAAAACAACGCCATTACCCAGTAATTTAAAGATTTTTGGATCATGAGTTGGGAATCAACCGGTCGCCGTCAAAGCCGATTCAATAAAAGAGGACACACACCATCTATCATCACGAAATCATTTCTGTGGAAGTGAGCAAAAACAAGCGCCAAAAGCAAGTGCATCCAGATGATAGGCAGGCAAAAGGGGAAGAATAACGCACGTCTGAACAAAAAAGTCATCCTTGATAGAAATGGAGGAATCGCAAGCAGTAGAATGCGCAAAAGCAACAATCGCATCCAACCTCCAACTATGCATTTTGGTTGAGAATTCAGACAACTTTCACTGCCAATTTCACGCACACAAGCTTGTCTGTTGGGTTAAGACGACGCGTCGACAACAACAAAGTTTAAGAGGCTGGAGGTAAGAAAACTTGACACTAGGAACAATGATAATAGACACCAAATCTGTCACAAAAACGCACAAAGTGGACGAATGAGTTCTTCTGCGCGAACTCCGAACACAATGCAGGCATTTACAAATATCGCTACCTTTGACAAGTTGGTCCACACTGCAAATGAGGCCAGGCTGCCACATACTACCAGCGCGGACGAGTTGAACACTCCATGGAGTTGAAAAGATGCTTTCACAAGGCCAGAACTTCCGAAATTGTATCATTACACACTGGCAAATATCCAGACACAGAATCCCATTTGGGATTTAAAGTGAGTGTTCAAGGTGTGGGAACATGTCAACAATAATACAGATGTAGAAGTAAAGTAAATAAGCCATTGCTGAAAATTGTTTAGTTCCTCTCCACTCGAAAAAGACTGCGTGTTGAATTGAACAATCCTGCTCAAAACATGTCAAAGTAGCAAAGAAGGGGTAAGCATTGCAATCAGCATTGGGAGGGCTCAAAAATGTCACAAGCATACCTTCAAATCAGGTTGCAGAATCAGTGAATCGGCGATAAAGACCTCATGGTGCGGAAATTTTCGCATCGCTGAAGCGACTTTCCGTACGTTAGTAGAGGGCTCTAGTGGCTCCTGGAAGCGGAAATTTGACGCCCAGAGCTTCTCAAACTCTGGCACGAGGGAGGCAAAAGCGCGGTCACCCCAGGGTGTCGTGCTGGCCGACGGATTGGCCAGACTGAAATTAGCGGCGTCGCGCAGCATGTGCAGGTAGGAAAAGACGTGATCGGCCACCTAGAGAAGCGGCAGCAATAGGCAGTAAGAGCACCAGCCAATGGTCCGTGAAGTAATAAACTCAACAATGATAGAAATGAATGGCATGTCATTAGCCCCACCAGTCATGCGCTGTCATAAATTTGGGACCTGTTTAAGAGTGTCGACGTTGTCGGACTAACCAACGCAATTCGCGCCTCAAGTCGTATGCAAACTGTTCTTGTCGTAAACGACGAGAATAAACCCTCAGAACCAGTGTTCTCTACATCAACAACAAACACTACATCGCATCACTGCGTTTCCATTAGGCTCTTGAGGGTGGTACCACTCTGCATCTCAGACCAGACGTTTATCAGGCCACAGCTCTGGAGAGCCACTAGAAGGTGGTCTTACATGCGTCAGAGAGGCGACGACCCAGTGCACCACCTTGAATGCTATTCTGAAAATAATTTGGCCTTCCAGCAGCACTCTCGAAAGGGCAGCACCCCGTTCACCTCCACAATACTGCTTGTTGACGACGTTAACACTACCTTGCAATTGGACCACTTAAAGGCATTGTGATCCAGAACAATAAAAGTGCTGTTCTTCACTCAGATCAAGACACGCAGGCTCTCGCATGCCTAGCAAGGAGGAATAAATCATATGCACGGTAAGACAGTTTCGAAATTGTCAATAAGATGCAATGGGAGCCTGTCTGCCTACACTACTCGTAGCATTTCAGTCAGTCACTCTACAACGCAGTGGGCTCCACTTTAAACACCCTTCGACGTTTACTTTTTCTAATGCACGAAACGCGTGATCTTAATCAGACCCAAGAGATACACTGCGTCTTCCTACTAGCTAGTGAACCCAACATCACTACAACGACATCTCCAAAAAATCACAAAAAAGGAGTTCACTAACTCACCGTGATGGGAGCTGCACGACCCAGTTCGGAGAGCTCCACGCTAATGCCAAAGATACTGGTCATTTGGTTGTGCTGGGTGCTGTCGTTGACCGCACAACCAGCATTCAACTCCACTGCCAGATTCCTGGAAGTAATCGAAATCATATATTAGCGATGTCACGAGATTCTACTGAATTGGCCTCGGTGCCAGAAAGCCTTACAACTTGCGGAGATACGCTACCAGACTTCCTCTGCCTTCGTATCCAACGATGGAAGCAACGAACTTCAGTGCTGCAGATCTAGAACGAAGACAAGTCATTCACAGCGTCCCATTCGCATGCCCTTCGCCTTCTTAAGAAAGTTCTCTAGCCAGGGAAAGTGAACAAGCATAGCTATTGGAAGTAGTAGTCATAGTCTAGTCAAGCAGTGAATAATTAACCACATTTTCAAATGCCTTATCTTCCAACTCGACATCTCCACATTCAAGTGGTGTATCCAAAACATCAGAAT